AGCTCGGCTCCCGAGCCCTCGGTCGTCCCGGCGATCCCCGAGTGCGGACTTCTGAGCCCGGGGCCCCACGTGGGAGGGCGGGCAAAAGGGAGGAGCCGAGGCCGCAGAGCAAGGTCTCGGAGAGGTCGGCAGTCGACCCTCTGTGCAGGCGTCACCTTGGGCTTCTGCTGGGGCAGGGGTCCCTCCGCTGTCCCTTGCGATCCGGAGTACGAGTTCAGGCGGCTTCGCGCAGGGGACGGGCGAGTTAGAGAGGAGTTGGCGCTATGGGAAACCTCTGCGGACGGCAGGGGTGACAGGAGTGCGCCCTCTCTTCTGGCACCTCGCGCGGTTGGCCGTCACCAGCTGACAGGTCGCTCACAGTTGACCCGTCCTCCGAGGGTTGGACTCGGTCACCCGCCCGCGACGCCCGAAGAAGCGTCCTTGGGACAGCCGGGAGCCTCACCTTGAAAAGGGGAAACAGCCGAGAGCCTGGGAGGGCTGAGCCAGGTCGCAGTGCATCGGAACGAGGGGAGGTAGGGGCAGGGGCTACGCGGGGGGCCTCCTGCGCAGCCGGTCTGGTCGCCAAGCCACAGTAACCCAGGCGCTGCTCTCACCTCGTCTGGGTCCGCTTCTGATCGTTTGCTCTCCCCAGGCCCCCAGGGCCCTTTATCTGGGCAGGCTGCCCGAGCCTTGCTGGACTGGAAGGCCTTCTGTTTGCAGAAGGACCAGCCCCCAACCCAGGAACAGAACGAGGAAGGGAGGGAGAAGACCGATATAGCGCCTAAATCTGGCAGGGTAAGGAAGCAAGCACCATGGCCTCTTTGAGCACCATGGCCTCTTTTCCCTCCCCTTCCCTTCCCTCTCCTTCCCTTCCCTTCCCTTCCCTCTCCTTCCCTTCCCTTCCTTTCCCTTCCCTTCCCTTGCCTTCCCTTCCCTTCCCTTGCCTTGCCTTGCCTTGCCTTGCCTTGCCTTGCCTTGCCTTGCCTTGCCTTGCCTTGCCTTGCCTTGCCTTGCCTTGCCCCCTTCCCTCCCCTTCCCTTCCCTTCCCTTCCCTTCCCTTCCCTTGCCTTCCCTTCCCTTGCCTTCCCTTCCCTTGCCTTCCCTTCCCTTCCCTTCCCTTCTTTTTCCTTCCCTCCTCCACTCTGTTTTCCAGACTTCAGGCCC